TGTTTTACTCTTGGCCGCAGATTTCTGTTAGGTCGGTCACCCTATTTTTATGCTGTGATTTGTGGGGTGCGGGAATGAATGTATAAAATTTCTCACCTGAATCCTTCCCTGAACGAGTCTCCTGCACTGTCTTCAATAACGAAACATGGCCCCGCAGTGGCTGTATATCTTTAAATGAATCCATCTTTCCCATTCATATCAGGAATATGTATACATATATACATATCACAATAGTTGGGGTTTTTTTTTTTTATCTGGTGCGCAGCTCTCGAGTTGCCTGAAGCTTGTTCTTTTTCGTTTTAGACGAGCATCATTAACAGAACATATCTACAGTTGATATGATGAGCTGGTCGAGAGGTTTGAGTGTGTTCCATACTTCTGGCAGAGGAAGTTCGCCGAATCCGTATATTCTCGCTGTTCATTTTTCTTCCTCTTTTCAAGTTGTATCCCAGGCTTCGATTATAATTTCAACATGAAGTCATTCTTCAACCGGACCAGGGTCAAGTCATGTGACCGTAATCAGGCCACTGTCAGCGATTCAGATCAAGAAGTGCAAGTGTATCTTGATATTGAAGTCGTATACAGCGAACAAATTGTCTTGGAACCTTTTGTTATTTCCCTTCTAAATGCACATAACCTCTACAGTGTTACTCCAACCATCTTTTTTGACAACTGAACATCCGAGGCAGATAAGTAAAAGGAGGGGAAAGGACCAAAAATCAGAAATCAAGAACCGAAACACCAAACTGAAGCAAAATGGAAACCTACTATGTATATATTTTGTGCCATGTCCCCCAACCATTTTTGAAAATGCGCTTTCTTTGCCAGGCACACACCCTCTAATAACAAGTGCAAGGTAAACAGAATGGAAAATATGGACTGGATCGCGGAAGATATAACAATATGAGATTAAAAAAACCCTTACATAAAATTCGAAGAAAACTATGAGAGCGGGGCTGACATTGAAGAAAATGCTATCGCCAGAGACGCTATGTATATACGCATGTACAGTATATATATGAGTGTGTTTAAATATCCTCGAGATTTGTGTTTCCACCAAACAAGGACCCAATTCGTGTACCTAGAGAGATCACCATGTGTCTTAGGAAATGCTGAACTGGATTGTTTTGATTTCCTTCTAACCAGAGGAGCTATTGGCGATTGAAAACCCCAGAGCTGAAAGTCATTGAGACTGGACATCGAGATACGCCGCATTCATTCCAAGGAGCAGAGTTAACCAACAGGAAGGAGACTGTCAAATTCCGGATTCCTATTTCGTGCTGGCTGTCGTAGTGGCCGTGGCATCCGTAGCAGAGGTGCTTCCTCCGTTGCGCATAATCGACGAGGTAGCCGCAGTCTCATCCTTCTCTGTAGGTTGTGCATCAATATCTTTTCCTGGCTGGATCACATACTCGTCACATCGCTCGACGAGGCGCTGATAATAATCCTCCAGGACCTCAGGCTGAGGCACTATACGCCACTCAACCCGCCACAGAAATTCCAACTCTAATAGCGCCAGTTCGGCGATGCTGATTCCACCAACTCTGGCGTAAGTCTTGTTTGTCCAAAAGCTGTCACTGAGACCCTTACTTGCCACGGTAGCGCTGCTGATCAAAAATCGGTGTACAGTGAGGCTCGAGACTGTAAATGCAGGATAAAGAGCACATAATCGGTCAATATAATACACCATACTTAAAAGGATAGGAGGGGAAAGGGTGGCATGCGTTGTTAGGCGCTGGAGGTAGTCATGGACGGAGATTCGAGGAGGGCTGCGCGAATGGAACCGTGTGAGGCGGCCATCGCGGAGGGGGATTTGGTCGTTAAAGCGGATAAGTTCCATTAACATACTGGAGATCAAAACGACGAGGTCGCGGGGATTTGCTTCCTCGTAACGACAGGGAAGGACTTTAACAGCGGGTTTTTCAGGGCGCAGTCGCTTGGAGAGAGATTCCGCCCGATTGTCTGGGTCAATTGATTGCAGCTTTTCGCCATCCGTAGCAAGAAGATTAGAAGGACCAGTAATGTTGCGCTTCGAGCCTACGAGAGTCGATGGCATTTGCGAGTCAGTCAGTGACTGGACGCCCTCCTGGCTTGGTTGTGACGTAGCAAGTTCAGAAGTGGTATTGGTGGACTCTGCGGATATCGTCTCACCAGCAGCCGTAGAGCCGAATGGTTCAGCTTGTTATTCGCTGGGGTAGCCGGGCGAGAGTACTGGGTTCCCGCATCTACAGTCTGCCTTCGAAAGGCTGATCGTATTTCCTCGACGCCCGAACT